AACCATTTGTAAGCAGTTGTTTGGGAATGTGAGTAAAATGCTATTGAGAGATACATTTTGTTAAAAATTTAAAATTCAAAAAGCAAAAAAAATAAACTAAAAAGTAAGATAATGCTTCTGGGATCACACCAAGGTATCACTAGGTTTGTTAAGCAATTGCAGCTGTCATTAATGATGTTCATTACTATCAAAGGAGCTCATGCACCTGAGAAAAGTAGTTTCAATACAGTAACCTCCAAAATAAAACCACTGTGAAGCAGAAAGTTCAGTTGTGAGTACAGTTCACTGAAGATTTTTGTTCTTGCTGTTTTCCACTCATTATGAACAACTAAGATTAAAGAATAATTTCTTTTTTCTAACAGGATAGTAAAATTCCTGTACCAAAGACTTGCAATCAGTTATGAACTTGAAAGAAAGCTCCCATGACTTTACTCTTTCAATAAGATTTTAAAATTTTGAGGAACGTTTGCACTCAATTTGTCCATTTGAGTGTCTATTCATAGGTTTCAAATCAATTCAATAAAAATCAAACATGAATCAGTACTGGACTAGAAAACTGGAAATTAAACTAAAATGAAATTCACTGTTATTTAAATGTTGACTAGGAAAAGATACAGCTGAAAAAAAGAATGCTAAAATTAGCAAAAAGTGTCAAATGACAGAAGAGCACTCAATAAAGCTATTTTGGTTTCAAATCCCACATTTCAAGGAAACTAACCATACTGAGTGAAAGGAAAATCTGCTAATGAGACAAGAAAACATTCCAACAGAAAGGCCTTATCTCCTTCACCTTTACTTTTCTGTTACTAAGTCATCTAATTTTTCTGGAAGAAATACTTTGTAATACACTTTCAATTACTGAATGAGTATTCACCAACCTACTGAAAGTAGGTTGGTGAATTGTATGTTACTAAGTAAGTGTAGCAAAACTTCAAATAAATTTGCTATTGCAGTATGTGAAACAAATAGTTTAAATATGAACACTAACAAGTAGCAGGTCAATCCGTGTGTGTCTGTGAATGTCTAAAATTTGAACTTTTGAATCTTGAAGCATAAAGTTGCTACTTGTTACATTAAATTCATATGGACTGGTATAAAATTTGATAAAACAGAAGTGGCATTTCACAAATCCTCCATTAAATAATGAGAAGTGAGACAGAAGTAACAATTAGGGGGCCGATCACATATTGTGACTACACAGAGACCATTTAGATCAGGAAAATGGGGCAGAGGTGGTGGGGATGTAAGGATTGAAAGGATGGGTCCTGAAAGGAAAATGGCTTCCCAGAAAGAACTAGTCCCTGAAAGAAGACAATTAAGATCCTGGCTGGTGGGAAGATCCTGGAAGTGAAGAGAGACCCTGGAGATCAGCGAGGTGCACTGAGATGAAGGCAGGGGGACTCCCAGGGACCATGGCCAGGAACACCTGACAGATAACAGCATGAAGCTGCACGGCAAGTTCTTATTAATTATTGTATATGGAAGCTAAGCATGCTTCATACCCAAAAGAGACTGATCTGGTGCTCGTTTTCTGGGCAGTTGTGAATGGGTGGGAGGATGTGTGATCTGAATTGCCAGAAGGTAAAGCAGATGAAGTATCCAGAAGCAAGTGTTAAAGGTTAATAGGATTTTGTACATCCTTAAAAATAAGCGCAACTTCTGCATTTACCCCACTGACTGGTCACATCTCATCCCAGTGATGCTGTCGAAAAGCCTACACTAGTCACTATAAATATTTGTTCTTATCGATCACACTGAAGAGCAGGACGAGCAAAAACATTGTCTTCTATGACAGGCAAGGGACAAGGCTCGGTACGTCTCAGAGCAAAAGGATCATATCTACTATTTGGAGCAAAAAAATGGTGCCCAGACACTGCCAAGGGGACGGAAGTCTCCCCAGTTTTGCAAAATGTGCAGTACACAGAAGCCTTCCTAGTTTCTGGTTTCACATAACCACTGGAAAAAAGACTCAGAATAGCTTAGGAAAGTAAAGACCTGCAGATTCCAGCTCAGTAAAAACCCTGCATTCATGAATGTGCAAGCCAGTATGTCCTGGATGCCCCAAATCCTGGCACATACTTGGAAAGGAGATTAAGGGCGAAAATAGGACATGAGGCAGCGACTATGCCTGGAACATAAGATAGGGTCCTACGAATGCTTCCTCATTTTTCACAGTTCTATCACTAGTGGTGGTGCCTCCCGTCCATTTTGGTTTACATTTCTTTCTCAGTCTGCTTCTAGGCAATTCCCTAAGCCATCCCTCTCTTCCACGCTGCCCATCTTCATTTCTTTCTAACTTTGTGTGTTCCTTCCCTCTAACATTGACTCAAGTGCTGTTCAGACTTTCTTTTATGGCAGTACACTAAGTCTATTTTTGTTTTCTCTCTCTCTTTAACGTTTACTGAAGCAGGTGCTGTAGTTTATATGATACCCGTTGCTTTCTCTAAACTAAAATCAAAACAAAAATATGACAAAGAAAGATATTTTTGTTTTGTTAACAACTAGTTGTAGATCAAGTTCTTTTGGATTCAAGCTAACAGCCCCGCACATCAGTTGGGTTCAATGTCACTGAATGTATCATCAAAATGAGTCAGCTTTAACAAAATCCACAATGCCTACATGTGTCTCATGCATTAATCAGAAAGCTGGATTTGATTAACTTCATAGACATACTTTGGTTCCTAGATACACCAAAATTCAGTAGAATTTGTCAATCTGAAAAAATGAAAAATTGTCTCAGATAGAGGATGTATTTTAAGAAATCTTTGCTTAAGTTATGCCTGAAACTGAAGCACTAATCTTACTTTGCCTCTTTGGCTTTGTCAAATTTCTAAGCAACTGACGTGTGTATACAGCTTAGAACACTTAATGGAGTTCCATTTAAATAAAACAATTGTATTACTACAATGAAAGTTTTTATAACAGAAGTTATAAGAAACTTTACATTCTGTTACAATAATGGCTGAAATTTCAGTAATGATACTCAGCTCACTTCCATATTTCTCATGTCTCCTGGCTTTTGGTCTTGTAAAGAAATGATATTCAAATTTAGATGCTGCAGTAAGATGTAGCAGCCAGAAAAGCCCTGTATTTTGCTTGCCCTGACAATCTGTCAGGACAGGATTAGTGTTAATTCGCATACTCATATAGGATTTCTTTCATTCTCTTTTACATAACTAAGCACAAGTAATCTTGATTCCTTGGCAGTATAAATCTTCAAAAAGAGTTCATTCCTAATTAAAACCCATTCCATTCTGTTGAACCCAATAAAATTTGTCTATAGATTCTTTTCAGTGTTTAAGTACATGAATACCAAAAATGGAATGTGCTTGGAAGAACACATACAAAATCAAAAATAACTGCATCAGGTGAAACAGCTTCCAGAAGAGAAAATGCTAATTCCACTTTGACAGAAACTAAGGGCATTGACACCATATTAAAAAAACTAACATTGGACAATGGTAGGCCTACTACTTACAGAGAGATGCTTCTCAGAGCATTATCTTCACTTCATGTCTACTGTTAAGCAAATAAACCCATATCTATGCTGGAGATGCAGAAATTGTTGCTAGTGAAAACGGTGACCACACTACACAATGTTACAAAAGGGGACGTATTAGGCATAGAAGGCTGGGTCTTTCAGTGTTTTCATGCAGGCTAGTAATGTGACCAGGTAACGGATTTATGTATGTATTTACAGCTACTACATGAAACTGTAAATTAATGCTTTAAAAAAACCCTCAAGGCTGTATTGTTCTGCAGAGAATAATCAATTACACGTATTCAGTTAATATTTAATTATACAATCAATTATATTGTTGAAGACCAGCAAAGTGATCTAAAGGAGTGTTTCAGCAAGGTTTTTTAGTTGTATGCCTGCACACAACTCAATGTTTGCAGTGGTCATCCCTACTCATTGTTTACAGAACATTAATTCATTTTTTCAAATAGGGAAAAAATAGTTTTGGCAGCAGCTACAGCTCATCGTGGAAACAGTAAGGTTCTTTTGCACAATAACTTTGGAATAGTGCATCAAACCATAATCAAATATCAATGTTAATATAATCCAGCAACGTATTGCCAGTTTCTTTAATCTTTATAAGGTTGCTACATGAAAAAAAAAAAATCTTCGAGAACTAACTTAGGTGTATTTCCAATGACGATATGGGATATTTGTGCATAAAGATTTTAGCTTATCAAAAGCATGACTATACCATAAGAACAAAATACATCTAACAGAGATCAATCTAAAGAAATAAAAAAAGGCAGACCTCCACTCATGCTCTTCTTGGCAAATTCAGGTCTAAAGCCTCAGGCTATGATGGCTCTCTATTCAGGAGAACCAAAGATTGTATGATATTTTAACGACATCCTTCCAAAGTCACCTGTAGGTCGCTGAAATACATACATGCTTAGCCACAATTTTTTTTTTTCCTCCAGTTTTACCAATGACTAAAAAGTAGTGCAAAGCAACAGCATTTTCTAGCAGCCTAATCTCACACGTGGTCCAAAAGGAAGATGATTTATTCCCGTCAAATACTTTCAAACAAAGAACTTGCTCTTATATGACAGCCTTTACTAATAGTTCCATAGTTTAAGTGTAACTCCTTGCTCCTATGAGGAGTAACAAGTATTTTGAAGTTTGCCTTTTTAATATCATACTTCATTTTCTTTAAAATTCAACTGAAAACACGAAGGAGCAAAGAATAAATTTTTCTTTGTCTTAAGTCATAAGCGTCTCAAGGAATATTAGAAAGTAAAAAAGAAAAACAATAACTCATATTACCATAGCTGCTTTTGAAAAATGCAGCAGTGTTTTACAGTAGGCACAATTTCAAAACCCATGACTAAGAAAACAACCTTGAATAAAATAAAGCTGGTTTTATTCATGAATAATCAGTTAATCAGTCTTTGTGATCACTGCATTCTTCTGTGAGGAAAACGTTATTTCCTTCTAGAAATGAGATGTTAAAAGTATCATACAAATGACCATCACTCACCTCTCCTATCATTTCTGCCTGTGTTTGTGGATTTGTCAGAAGGGCAAGGGCAACGTCCTTCGCATTTCACTGAAATTTGTTTTCCTGAGACACAGGCTTGATAGTCTAATTTGCACTGTAAGAAGAGAGAATGACTATCATTAATATAATCATATTTTAGAATAAAGAATATAGCTCTAAGTATTTTGAAGGAATCTTTCATGAATTGTTTACATCTTTGTGGACACAGGTGCTAGAAAAAAAAATACTTTCTTCAGTATATACTATGTTTATTCCATGATTTATATTAGATAAAGGTACGAAGTTTTTGTTCCCTAATGTGGCTACAGTTTCAAGGTTAATTAAAGCATGAATGCACTCGTGGTGTTACACTGACTTGAATATGCATACTGAATGAAAGTAGAATGCATTCAGTTTATTTGTATATGTGCAAACAAACAAAAGGAAAACAATATTCACTATTAATAGGAAACAATTAACAGTGAGTTATTACAGAATTTATGACTTAATTTCTACATTTAAGATACCATCCTAGTAAAAATCAATACCAAATAAAATGGAAAGCTTTGCCTGAGGCAGTTTGCACAGCGACAGCATTTTACAATATAGAAACAGACTAAATTGTGTAGTTCTGATCTTTATACTTAGAGCTCCAATTCACAAACCACACAAAAATAAACTAAATCTAACCACGAAATGGAATTATTGTTTTAAAAATATTAAAACATTTAAAGACTACATTCATAACCTCATTGTAAACATTGTCATTCTGACTGAAAAGCTAAACTTTTATTCAAAAAGTTCATGACATATAGATCTTTTTGCACAACATTTTGCCAGTGTAAAATCGGGAAAACCAAAAAACAAAACAAAGTGATAAAAAAGTTCAGTACCTATGAAGAGCTTTTTCAGAAAAGGAAAGGAGGAAGATGGTTATGGAGAACACTCCATTCTTGAACAAAGGATGGAAGATATCTTATCAGGCAGGTAAGGGCCTTATAATTTAAAAGCACATGAGTCAGAAAATCATGTCAAGTAGAAAATAAAAATATAAAGTGTTTTCTATGCATCACAACACTTCAGCAGAACAATCTCACCAGAATTTGTGTCTTATATTCTCTGACTCCTGTCTGGGTACCTAACTTGAGCTTAAATGCAATTCTATTATACAATTACCAGGAGTTCTGGCAAATCCTAAAGTTGAAGTTTCTCACTCCTGAAAACGAGTATGGGGTGGGAGCTCTATAGCTGCGTAAGAATAAAGGAGCCTCCTGAAAGACTGCAGTTGAGGTTTCCACTAGTCTGCAGATTTAAGTGCTGTGAATTCAGAGTTTCATGCACTTGGTCTCCTAAGCCTGTGACACTGTCATGCAGTTCTTTACCTAGCAGAAGCTGAACTGAATGACTGTATTGAAATAATAGCTTTTTGCACCACTGCCAATATCAAAAGACAACATTAGAAAAAAAAGAATGCCTCAGATTTTGCATTTTTACATAAAATCAACAATATAGTCCAGTTCTGAATGTGCTACTTTTTGCCAAAAAAGGCATGATTAAAGGACAATGAGGCTAAAAGAATCTTTGAATTCTAACAAAATAATAGATCTGCTCCAATTGAAAGCTATACAAATAGCACTAGAGTGGACTAGAAAAATTGAAGCAAAGCAAACAGCTCTGGCTATGTTGACTACGAAACAAGTGAATAGCTTTTGTATCCCTGCACAATTATCCTAGCTCTAAAGGAGATGCCCATCAGATTTCTTTCCAGGCAGTGCATGACCCAATCCATATTTTATTACTTGAAACAATCTTCAGAGTTAGTAGAACAGATCAGACCAAATTTGTTGTTTCTGTTGAAAAAGTATCTTCCCTTTTTTTAAGATCTGAGGATTTTTATGGTTTAATCTCAGTACCTTACAGAATCAAACTTACAAATACCTGTGCTTTAGGCTTTGATTGCTGCTGGTGCAGACTGAACTTAATAAGGCCACCATTTAAAACAGGACACAAACACATTTCAGGCTTGTTTTACATTTAGCTGCTCTAGCCAACACTTGGGCATTTAGTCCTTTATGTTTTTTTCTTTAAAGTTGTCTGCTCAGTCCTATTTGCAAATAATATTGCCCTTTTAAATGTTAAGAAAACCTTTATGCCCAACATCTATCACAGGCACCGATACTTGAGTTAGTGAGCGCAAGGTCAGCATGTAACATTTCCAAATCATTGCTCCCATTCACAGGTATGCAGAATTTTGCACTCACTGAACTCATTTTATGGACAGGCAGGCAGCACAGAGAGATCCTTGTCTCCAAAAACAAAGTAAAATCACAGTGCTTGCGTACGTCAGAGATGAATCAATAGGCTGTTCTGCAACTTTCTTGTCTGCAACTAATGACACCAGGAACATAACTCTGGTTCAAACACCTTGTCCTTGTTCCCCAAATAAACAATGCACATTACAAGAGCAGCACAGCTAAATAAAGCTGGGTTAGACTTCCTTCAGCTTTACTCTCAAACTGGTAGAAGAGAATGCAACAAACCTGAAAAACTCCATAAAAAATAAATTTGTGGCATACAAAATATGAGGGTACAATGACAAGCAGTGATAGCAAGGAGACACAGCGTTGGGAACAGTGATGAAATAATTTGTTTTGTGGGGAAAATACCTGAATAATTTAAAGAGCACAAAAATACATGAACTACTATGTTATGTATAGCAATAATAAATAATTCCAATTTATTTGGCTTTATATGACTTCTATATAGATAAAACTTATAATGAACATTCCTAGAAACCCATCTGGTAGATTTCACAACATTCCTTATTTATATTAGTTTTATAAACTATTAACTGCTTCTGCTGCTCTCATCACAATCCCTTACATGTGTGAAAAAAATACTGCTGAATCTATCTAGCTTTTTATCTTCTGATCTTGACTCCCCTTTCCTCTTAGTGTATCAGTTTTCTACGCCAGAGTTTCACCATGTGCCATTTGTATGTGTGATTCAAAGGATGCTTCAACTGTTTGAATTTTCACATAAATTGTTTCAAGACAGAAGAATAGGTATCTCTGACTTAAGAGCAATGTCTTGCACATTGCTTAAAAAAAAATAATCATTTCAATATAGAGAAGGAATGTGTACCATATGTCAGGGTCTCTTGGCAATACAGTTCAGGGTGAAAACTTCCTCATTTCTGTACTGTCAAGCGTCCCATAGAAAAATGAAACTTGTTTATCCATATTCTGCCTGTTTGAAAACCTGTTCAGTATTAAATGGACTCAACATTCTTCAACATTTGCCCAAAGCAGCTCTTTGGTGAACTCAAGACATGCAATTAAAACCTGTGGGAAGAACATCAAAGAATGTGTCAACTTTAGACATGACTCACGCAGCTTTACCATTATTACTGTGAAGATGAGAACAGTTACATTTCTGGAATATCTACTATGGCGTATATTATCTTGATATACATAAGCCCTGCTCTTAGAACTACTGTTAAAGAGTTAGAAAGATTAAATGACAGTAATATATTTCATTAAGCTCTGCCACCTTCCATTCCAAAGTAGCTACCTGTCAAAGGCAGCCAAATGGATCTCTGTGTATTGTACACATGAAGAGCCTAGATGTGCCTCAAAATGGAAAAACCACACCTACTTTTCCATGGCAAAATAATGAAAAAATCAAAGTGCAACAAAAAACCCCTATTATTCTTGTGTTCACTTAATAGGCATGAATACAAGGGCAGACTACACATTATTTATTATATTAAGTTCCAAACAATCCCAATTTCCTTTGTATTTGTAAACCAAGTTCCAGGTAAAGATCATATATTTACATATATAGATGGTTACTTTCAGAAAAAAAACAGATCAGTCTCCTGTGACAAACTGATCTATTTTTTCAAGGGTGAAGTGTGCATATCATTAATATACAAGGAGGACACTGATAAAACCTGTGACTTGGGAAAACTTTCTGATGACTTCAAATACACAGGAAACCTCTACAGGAAGAAGTAATAGGTCAGCACGAGTGTCACATACGGAGAGGTGAAATCTCTATCTCGAGCAAAAAACAGTATTTAGATAATATTTATATAGCCTACAATTTTTCAGATTAGATGAATTTGCCATCTACATCCTGCAACACTACAACCCTCTGAACAAACTTAGAGCCGTCAAGAAATTGTGAGGGACAGAAAATGTACTATTAGACTGGAAATCAATGAAACATGAAGAAAATAAATAAGGAAGGAAAAGATAACCTCAGAAATTATAGGGGAAAAAACGTTTTAAAGCTTGATTTCTAAACACCTAGAGGAAAAAAGGAGCTACATATGCAAAGGTACAGCATTTTATCAGACAAATTGTAACAAATCTAGTTTCATTCCATGGAATAACTTCCAGAAAACAGAGATATATTAGATTGCAAGTACCTTGATTTTACCACTGCTTGTGATACTCCGCTTGTGATACTCCTTTACGTTGCAGCTTATTAATTCATTCTATTTGTGTGCTCGTATTGCAAGATTAGTACAAAACTAGTTGAAAGCGATCCTCAAAGAGCAGCAATCAATGGCTCACCATTAAAATAGAATGCTGCACTAAGTGGACTTTTACAAGGGTAAGTCACAAGCCTAGAACGATTCTGTCTTTTCATTAATGGCTTGGAAGATGAAATAAAAGATATCCTATCAAACATGGAAGAAGTTGGAATAACTTTAGAAGATAAGAACATAATAAAAATACTCATGATATTGAAACAGGCTAAAAAATATAATGTAATTCGATACAGATAACTGCTATATTCTACTCTTAAGGAGACAATAATAACTACAGTTGAAATACAAGCAGCGGAACAACTGACTAGACATTCATTCCAAAGGAAAATCAAAAATCTAGTGATCACTGTGAACAACTGAATGGTGTTTAAAAGCATTACTGTACCAAGATATACAAACAGGACTGCAACCTACAAAGCATTTAAAATAATTCCACACAGTTCTAGCAGCACTTAAAATAGAGCATGCTGTTCAGCTTTGTAATAAGGTTTCAAATGAGACAGGAATTAATTGGAAAAAGTCCTAAAAGAAAGCAACAGGAGTGATCAGAGGCC